AGCACCTTGGAAATGATCTCATTCAACCTCTTTCCAATGCAGAATTCCCTTATCCAGGTTCCTTAGATGATAATACAGCCTCTGCCTCATCACTTCTGATATTGATAGAATGGAAGCTTCTTTAGGGTAGGGATGATTTTATTTATTATATTAATAGTTCCTGACACATAGGAGGTGCTTAATAAATGTTTGCTGATTAAGTAACAGATCGGGGCAAATATTTCTTGTAATGTCCACCCATTATCCCTTGTTCTGTCCTCTGGAGCAGGTTGTCATAAGTGAATTTAGCAGGAGATTTGAGAATGTTGTAATTGAGAATGGCTTTTTCTGCTTAGCCACAGGAAAATTTTCACAGATTTTCATTTTGGTGAAATGAAAAGAGATGCTAGATGGGAAGAGGTTATGGAGACATGCAGAAAAGGGGAAGAGGATGTCATGATACAGATCAGCTATGCACAGGTTCCAATCCTCAATTTAACTCTCAAGTAAAGTTTTCTACAAATGCACTGACTTCTGCTGTCGATTGAAGATTTTCCTCAACCTAAAAATGAGCATTATTTGTACCATCTGCTTAAAAATGGCTTTTTACTGATGTAACTTCCATCTAGCTCAAATTACCAGGCATGGATTAGAGCAAGATTTTAAGGTGAGTTGGAAAATTAAGCATGAGTGTCCAGACTGTGTAAATCATGAAGAAGGACTTAGAGTCAGGTATTCACATGAATTCATTGACCCTTCAAGGGGTAGTTAGATTATCACATTTAAATAAATATGTTTACTCTTTTTGAGATCTATACAAGTTAGGATGTAGAGCTCATGACTACTTCAAGCCACCAGGATTCACCATTCTCCTCTAAACAACCTTGTTATTATGCTTTAAATTTTATTCCCACATTGCCCCTTTCTTTATCCATTGAACACTATGACTATTAATGTTTTAATTATCACAATCTCAAAAGAATTTAGATGGATGTGGATATATTGAATGTAAGATGAAGTAGATATAAACAATGGTGAAAATTAATTGTGAAAGCCAGAAAACAAAGGAGTAAGTGGCCATTGCATTTTTTGCTATCAAAGGTAGAATTGGGATGTCTTGGATGAAAGTGAATTTCTCTTCACTGAAGCACTTTCAGGATAGTCTGGATGACTAATTATTGGGAATATAATGGGAATAATTATTCTGGCATTGATTGATTTAGATGGTCCCTAAGATGACTCACAATTCCCAGAGTCTCTAATTCTAGGATATGGAGAATCTAAAGAAAAAAAAGCATCAACCCCCCCCTTCAAAAAAAGGAAAATTTTTAATGTCGCTAATAAAAGAGTCATGGTACTCTGTAAAGATTTGCCATCTTAATTTAATGATTGTCTACCTGTTTTGCTAGTGGCAGTACTACTCATGTAGTCACTTGCATTAAATTAATTACATTTCCCTTTTTTAAATTTCCTAACATTACCTTTTTCACCCCATTTGAAACACTGATGAAAATAATATACCAAAGTTGGTCCTACCATTTTTACTTTTAATTCCATCCCTTCCCATCTTCTACAGGATCTTGCTTTATAAATTTAACTCATTAAACACTGTTAAATGTCTGCTCTGTACAGGGTATTGTCCTAACCTTTGGAGATGCAAAGATTTAAAAATAACATAGTCCCTGCTCTTTATGAGCCTTAAGTTCACTGGGTGGAAGTGGAGGGGGGGGGTGCCTGACAAACACTCATGTTAAGTGTACAAGTTACAAGGGAGAGGGTAAAGTATGAAAGAGGCAGGGGACAAATCTAGAATAAGTTCTGTAAGGAAATTTAAGGAAAAGGAAAGATAGAGGAATCAGGGATGGTTTCTTGGAAGTGATGGTTCTTGAGCTGAGCTTTGAAAGAGTAGAGGTGTTTTAATAGATAAAGAAATAGTGCATTTCAGGTATGGAAGGGTGGCCTATGTTAATGCCCAGAGGTAGAGTTTAGGACAAATTCAGGGAACAGCAAATTACTATTAGCTCAAACATAGGAAAGAAAATAAGATAAAATGAAACTAAAAAGATTAGTTGGAAATGTATTATGGTGGGGTTTAAAAGCAAGGTTAAGGAATTTATATTTTGTGTTGACAGTGACAGGTAGTCAATGGAAGCTTTTGAATAGAGAGGTAAAATAACATGATAGGAAGATTATTTATAACAGTTTAATGAATGGGGTAGCAGAAGGGAGATCATTTACAAGGCTATTATATTAAGCTAGGATATTAGGCCATTGAGTTCATTCCTCTTCTTTCACATTCATTCTATTCTATTGCCTCCTTGCCCACTACCTAAAAACATGCTCAGGTGTGCCCTATCCTAAAACAAACAAAATGCCCTCCCTTGACTTTACTATCCCCTCAAGCTATGCCCTGGATCTCTTCTCCACTTCAGTGCTAAATTTCTGGAAAGGATAGTCTATCTGATTGCCTCCCCTTCTTCACAACCCACCTACTCCTCAACCACTTGCAATCTGGGGCAATGTTGCCCCTATCATTCTACTAAAATGGATCTCCCTAAGGTCACCTTGACCAAGATTTACTGAACTTACTGACCTTTGATCAAGTCTCATCTCCCTGATGATTCTGTACTTTTGACACCATTGACTACTCTACCTTCTAGATATTTTCTCTTCCTCTGATTGTTCTCTGCTTTCTTCTTGTAGTTGACTGAACAATTTTGTTTGATTCCTTCACTGAACAATTGTCCTTCCACCTTCTACTCTGACTAATTTTGCTCTGTTCCTTCACTGGTTCATTGCCCTTCTACCCTCCTCCATGTAAACCAAGGCTATGTTCTTAAACCTATCTATTCTCAGCACTCTTTCCTTTTGCTGGTAATTCACAAACATAATCATTACATTTGAACAGGTTACTTAAATAAGTTTTTAGGGCATTTTTTTCTGGATCTCTCCTTTGCTCCTATCCCAGGCTACCTTGTTTTACAATTATCCATGTATACTATTTATCCTTTATTTGAGCATAATCTCTTTAAGAACAGAGATGATGTTATTTTTTACCCTTGCATGAGTACCTGATATATAAGACACTTAATAAATGTTTCTTTAATCAGTTTGACTAAATTAAAAAAAATTCCCCTTGTTAATTTGTATAATTTCCCTTTATAGACATCTTCTATATGAAAATTGAAGTTGGAAGGGTCAAGGTCATCTGATCTAGCCACTTCATTTCTTTAGGCAGGCTTATAGTTAAGTCTTTCAAGACATATTATTGTATATTTTTTAAAGATCTCTATGGGGGCGTCTAGGTGGTGCAGTGGATAGAGGACTGGCCCGGATTCAGGAGGACCTGAGTTCAAGTCCAGCCTCAGACACATAATACCTACTAGCTGTGTGACCCTGGACAAGTCACTTAACACTCACTGATCTTGATGTTGGCAGCCTGTAGTCACAGCATCATATGTAAGGCCAATGATCATGTTCTCAATGCCATTATCTACATCCTTCAAAAAGCAAAAACAAAGCAAGAATCAGCAGTATATTCAGAATTCCTTTTTTGTGGGAAAGTAACATTTATCAAAAACATCAACAATAGCACCTTTACTCAAAGTGTCAAGGAAAAAGAAGTAATAAATGATGTATAAGGTCCTTCTTCTTACAAAATTATTCAGCAATAGAAATTGCTTGATTGCTTCTGGTTCTAGGCATTTCCACATGACTTATTGAAGCAGTTGCTAAACTTATGACTGAATGAAATGTTTTACTAGAATCCACATTAATCAAAGCACTTTTTTTCTTTCTTTGTAGCCAACCTATCTACCACAAAAGGAAATCCGATTCCTTTGACATGATTTGATATTAATATGTTATGGAAGTTTCAACCTAGTATCTGGTGAGTTTAGTCAGTGGTGAGTGAATTAACAAATGATTTTGTAAAGTTACGATATAGTGCAGCAACCTACTCTTTCTGCTAGCATTTTTTTTTCTTCTTGGATTCAGATGGCAAAATATAAACTAATGAAAATGGGGGAGAGAGAGAGAGAGAGAGAGAGAGAGAGAGAGAGAGAGAGAGAGACAGATGG